TGGGTGGATGGTCAGAGCTCTTACAATTAGCCACCAAGCTAATAAAAATGTATTGGGCTAGTAACTTAGGGGGGCTCCTTGGCAGGACTGATTTAGAGGACAATAGAATGCATAGCACTGGTTCAGCTCTCGCTCTGACATCTCTTCATTCAGTTCTCTAGAAAAGCCTCCTGAAAAATCCCCAGTGAAGTAAAACGAGCTGCACAAGAACAACCATCTGTCCATGGGTGCCTCCAGACAGTGGGGTATCACTCAGAATTGTGCAGCAATAGGGCAGGCCAAAGCACCCTATGGAGGGTAAGCAGGGGGAGGACAAGCCCTACTGCAGTAAGTGCCCTGTGATAGCCCCATGGGTCTTCCTAGGATGTGGGATACAGGAGAAAAATAAAAAATGGATAGAAGCCTGGCCTGGATTGAATGGGGCTATCAGCTGCTGTGGTCTGATCCAGCTGCACAGCTTGCCAGGCAAAGCAGGTGTGGGTTGGAGGGGAGCTCTTCCCCATGTGAAGCAAAGAGGTGGACCCTGAATGCTAGCTTGAGTAGGAGGTTCCACCCTGAAGCTGAATGGTATTTGAAAGCCTCTAGGGGAGGATTAGACAGCTTGTAGGTTAAAATATTGAAGGTCAAATCACCCTGCATCATAGCTCTGCTGGCTAGGAATGGTAGGAATCCAACTCCCCCTCATAAAGAACTGCTTTCTATGGACAGCGTTTTGTGAAAGGACATGGCTGGCATTTCTAAGGACTGACAGAAACAAAGACAACCAACTGCCATCTGAGAAGTGTGTGTTTTCACCCTTGAGCCACTCATTCTTTGAAAAGTATTAATGCAGTCTGTAAAAACTAGACCAGGAGCTGACTGTGGCTCAGATCATGAGCTTCTGGTTGCAAAATTTAGGCTTAAATTGAAGAAAATAGGGAAAAGCACTAGGCCACTCAGGTATGACCTAAATCATATCCCTGATGAATATACAGTAGAGGTGACAAACAGATTTAAGGAATTAGATCTGATAGACAGAGTCCCTGAAGAACTACGGACGGAGGTTTACAACATTGTACAAGAGGCAGCAACTAAAACCATCCCAAAGAAAAAGAAATGCAAGAAAGCAAAATGGCTGTCTGAGGAGGCTTTTCAAATAGCTGAGGAAAGAAGGGAAGCGAAAGGCAAGGAAGAAAGAGAAAGATACACCCAATTGAATGCAGAATTCCAGAGAATAGCTAGAAGAGATAAGAATGCCTTCTTAAATGAACAGTGCAAAGAAATAGAAGAAAACAATAGAATAGGGAGGACCAGAGATCTCTTTAAGAAAATTGGAGTCCCTTGGATCGCAAGGTGATCAAACCGGTCAGTCCTAGAGGAGATCAACCCTGACTGCTCTTTAGAAGGCCAGATCCTGAAGATGAAACTCAAATACTTTAGCCACCTAATGAGAAGGAAGGACTCCCTGGAGAAGAGCCTAATGCTAGGAACAATAGATGGCAAAAGAAGAAGGGGACAGCAGAGAATGAGGTGGCTGGATGGAGTCACTGAAGCAGTCGGCGTGAGCTTAAGTGGACTCTGGGGGATGGTGGAGGACAGGAAGGCCTGGAGGAATGTTGTCCATGGGGTTGCGATGGGTCGGACACTACTTCGCAACTAACAACAACAACACAGTGAATATGGCTGTCAGATGAGAACAGTTCAGATCTCATTTCCCTTCTGAAGTTTCTAGGTGACCTGAGGCAAGGTCTTGGCTTCAACTCTACTGCAAGATAGAGAGAATTCTGTCATATATATTAGAGAGGAATTGCTCAGATAATGCATATAAAATGCCTTGAGCATTTGAAATCTACCATATAAATGCAACTTGCTCAAGGTGGAACTTTCAAGATGTGTTGGACTACAACTTCCATCATCCCATTTGACAGGGTGATTGGCTGTGCTGTCTGGAGATGGTAGCAGCTGCAGTCCAGCATATCTAGAGGGTGCCAGTGTGGATTGGGCTGATGTAAATGCAAGACACTGTCTTGCATGTGTTATGATATCTGTCATCATTGCACCATTGGTAGTACAGCTATCCTGGGTTGTACAAATGGGAAAGAGTTCCTTTCACTTCTCCTTCATGCTCAAGTATCTTAAGGGCAGTGTGTGTATGCGCATGTGTGTGTTATGTGGATCAGAGCTGAGCAGAAAGAAGAGCTCCAACTGTTTTGAATGTCACCTCTCAGCACTCCTGCCTGGCCATTGGCCACGCTGGCAGAAGCTGATGGAGCTGAAGCCCACAGCATCTGAAGATCTACCTTCTGGCCACCTTTGATGTGGTACTTCAATCCTTTAATGAAACTTATTCTCCAAACCATAGAAAACATCACCACCGAGGCAGAATGCAAGAGTAAGAACACAAGAGAGAAGATGGTATGATGTTGGCATTTTTCAAAATAACAGTGCTTTGGTGAACCAGTTCTACTTGCTGGCAGAGGAAAAGGCCACAGTTTCAAGCAAGGTAACTGTTTAAAATAATTTAAAATATTAAATTATTTTAAGATCCCTTTGTCTGGGGTGGTGGCAGAGGCACAACTAAATATTGAGAGTATAATGAGAGTTGCTTAAACATACATTCAATTCTTGTATTGACATCAATGGGTCTTAAAAGGTTTCAACTTTGGTTGGAGTATGTTCCATATGTCTTAATCATCATGAATGTGTGGTTGTACTAGGCAGTTAAGCATGCAGGGGTTCTAGTGTCACCATTTGCAAAAAAGGAACATTCTGTAATTGGTCTCTTTTTGCCATTTTCAAAATATAGCGCAAATGCATGGTTTGTTCATCTTTCTGTTTTTTCATCTTTAGGTAGACAATGCGGATGTTCCAAATGACAGTTTACTTAAGAAACAGGATCTTGCTCCTGGTACTTTATACAGGTTCAGGGTTGCGGCCATTAATGGCTGTGGCATTGGGCCATTCAGTAAAGTCAGTGAATTTAAGACCTGCATCCCTGGATTTCCCGGAGCGCCTTCCATCGTCAAAATTAGCAAGGTAAGGAAGAGATTGGTATGCAGATTTGTTTAGTTCTTTTGCAAACTCAGAGAGAAGCTTTGGGGCTTGCTATTCTTTGTCCAAGTCAGTGATGGCAATGTATGTATCTCGCTCTGAACAAAGGAAGTAGTTTTCAATTGGAATAAAGTGGAAGGGGAGGGGAAGTAGCACACAGGTGCTGAACCCCAGAATGCACCAGCTCTTTAGCATAATACTGTGAACAGTGAGCCAGTAGAGTCAAGTCAGGCATCCACTGGTTGGGAAGCCTTATGAGCACCTTATTGCAGTCCAATGCCAACGTTATTTAATGCAGCCTTCTCTTAGCTGGTGCCATCCAGTCGTTTAGGACTACACTTCCCAGCATTCCTGATGATTGAGCATACTAACTGGGGCCAAGGGGACTCGGCCCAAGTCACGTCCACTGTCCGTGCTGCCCAGTAATGAGGGGGGGTTGCGGCTGGATGCATCTCTCTGCCTCCAGGTTGTGGAATGCTGTCTTAGGTGGTGGCAAGGCATGTTTTCTCTAAGGTAAGAATAGTCCTGAGCAACACAACTCAGTAGCAGCATGTGTGCTTGTGCTGTTTTTTTCCTCCATATGGAGGAGCCTTAACCAGGCCTTTTGATATCTTAAATGAGCAGATAGCGGTTCCAGCACATTAGGCTTGGCAGCCTGAAATTCTCTCTCTGCAAAGTAAATTGAAACCTAAATTACTTGGTGAGAATTTGATTTCGTCTCTCTTCCTCAGAGTGCAGATTGTATTCACCTTTCATGGGAGCCTCCTGTCTCACCTTCAGGAAATATCTTAGAATATTCTGCCTACTTGGCAATAAGAACCACCCAGCTCCAGGAAAATCCTAATCAGCTCATGTTTATGAAAATTTATTGTGGCCTTAAGACTTCATGTACAGTGACAGCTGCCCAGCTTGCAAATGCTCATGTTGATCACACATCCAAACCTGCCATCGTGTTCAGGATCTCGGCCAAGAATGAGAGGGGATATGGACCAGCTACACAAGTTCGATGGCTCCAAGGTAAGGACAGTGGTTTACCTGGACACCTAAATCTTGCATTTGAATTTTGTAGAGAGAGGCAGTTAATGTCACAAATATTTTTTTCCTAGTGTACAGGGAGGGATTAGCTCCTTGTAACACTGGAGGCCCTGTCCAAATAAGTAATGCCACATGGCCCATCTTTAGTGGGTGGCACAAAATAACTCTACCAGGGCAGCATACAGCAGTTCTCCAGAAAAGACGGTCATTGGCCATGTAGGGCACCTTCTCTATTAGAGACCTCCTCCCTGGGAATTCCAGGTGTTTATTGTTGGCAGCCCACCTTGACTTTTCTGCAGACACCGCTGCTCTCAACAATGGAGCGGGGGAGTGGTTGAGGTTGGGGTATTTCTCCTTGTGAAGAAAGCATCCAGTTGCTTTGCTACGGTGTGGGGGACAGTCTTATTGCTGCCATTACCCCTGTTCTGAAATGTAGCTTTGGAGCAAAGGGAGACCGATCTCTGCAGGTTTTCATTTGAGACGGAAGGCAATGGCTGTTTCTCCAGTCATCACTGTATGTTCAGCTATAGCATGTAGCTTGAATCTGGCACATGTGTGAAAATATTTTGAACGTTTTAAATATAATTTTTCAGTCTTTTGTGAGTGCACACATGCACAATTATGGAAGTCCAAATGGGCAGGCTCACCTGCTGGCAAAGTGGACTGATCCTCATCTTTCTTTGGAGTCAGTTGTCCTAAGGGTGTTTTCACTTTTCCCGTTGCTTCTGAGATGCAGCGGCAGGGGGGAAGATGCTGCAGGAAACCGAAGACAGCTCAGAGTCGCAGTGGGGAGGGCAGCAAGCCTCTTGGGCACTTGCCACTGCTGATGGTCCAGCCCAGCTTGGAAGAGTGGCAAGGGGTGTTTACCATTCTTGCCAAGAAACTCACTTGCCAGTTCCCAGTGCTCAAATTGGGGTTGGTCTCCTGACTTAAGACCACAGAACAACCCATAGTGACTCAACAACCCCTCAAACAAGCCATGGGTTGTCACTGTGGCTGGTTGCCCTCAAAAAAGTTACAAGTTAAACTGAGCCTCTCTGTTCAGGACAGTTTACCTTTGAACATCAATTACTTGAGGAGTAAACAGGTAGCCACTGTTGAAAACAGCTGGGCTAGATGGACCTTTGCTCTGCTCTATAAGAGCAATCCTGTACAGATGGAACACAATGAGACTGTAAGGTTGCTGAAACATACACTAGCTGGGATTGTTATTGACAGAGTTCTTTGAGCAAACTGGGTGAGAAAACTTTGCATTTAGTGGTGAAGAGGAAGGGGTCACAAAGAATGAGTTCTAAAGGAAGCTTTGTGTGGAAAATGTATAGCAGGTGTTCCTTGCCATAGTTAATGCAGGAGTGTGGCCCTCAATCCAAATGAAAAGTGACCCCCAAAGTGCTCTGAGTGGTGATTTAATCCCTTGTGTACAAGAATGAAGGGTTGAATGTCAGTTTATAGCAGGGGTCAGCAACCCGTGACTCCGGAGCCGCACGTGGCTCTTGAATCCCCCTGCTGCGGCTCCGTTGCTCAAAACAAGCTCAGCACAGCCGCCGATCTGTGACCGAGGCTCCGAGTTACAAAATACGAATAGGTGATGATGAGGCATCCACTCAGGAAGGCTGCACTAGCGGGTCAAGTAAATTGCTACATTCCTCTGCTATTGTGCAGGGAAAGAGTGGAACAAGCTTCCTGCAGGCTCGCATGTTACTCAAACCCTGCTGAAAAGATCCTCTTTGTCCAAATGTAAGCTCCTTCATCTGAATGTCAAAAGCTGCGCTTAGGACCTGTCACAATTCACAGCACTTGCCTGTTTATCTGCTAATCAGTCACTAAACACACCTATATCTGTGACTCCCCCCCTCCCCCCAATAGGCCAACCATGGATAAATCGAAGAAAAACAAAGTTTCTGAAGAAAACCAAACGTTTAATGATAAGTGGGTAGATTCATTTGCTTTTATTGCTGACAAACTTATGGGGTTTGCTGTTTAATGCATGCAGCCCTTTAGCACTGACTTTGACTCTGCAGGAAACTGTTATCCCATTCAAAATATATGAAAGGAGTCCTACTAGTTTATAATGCAAGATTAAAAATAACAGTTTTTAGTGACTGAACAAGAGCTGCAGCTAAATCATAATGAAGATATACATAGCATTAAGGTAAAAAACGATATATGTGTTATCTTCATTTTAGATGTCAAAAGGGTTTTACAGCTCCCGGTGTTTTCTTTTATGTGGGAAACGGGTCCAAAAGGCTCTTTGAGTGTTAAAGGTTGCCGACCCCTGGTGTATAGGATCCTTTGCCTCCTAGAAGAGTTACAAAGGGCCAGAGGATGCCTCCATCTTTCAGGGGGCTTCACTGCATACAACAGTGGCTAGCAAACCCCTGAACAGTGGCTGTCAGGCCAGAGTTGGTGAGACCAAAGCTTGAGTTCAGGTACTCCTATTTGAATTAATTTGCCCCAAATGCTTCTTAACCACATGCTCTTTTTTTTTTTTTTTGCAGAAACAAAAACGTCAAGTTCAAAATAGAAACGTCATATTATCCCGCAAGTTGTGGAGTAGCAGTTAGCACTCGTGATATTTTGTAAATCTTCCAAATATTTCATTTTATATTGTCTTCACAGCATCAGTATTGTACAGTCTTGCAGATATGGACCTAGAGTGACTGTGTTTTTCATATTACTTTATATCTAGTATGGTCACTTTAGAGTCCCTGGTTAACATCCAGAGGGATACATATGCGTCTGCATTTTTGGAGAGTCTTCCTTCCAGTAGCTGCCAGCACACAGACCTACCAATTGCAGTAGCTTTGCACACACAGGGAAGTGCCGTCGCTCAGTGACAGATGCCATGCTTTGCATGCAAAAGATCCCACACTTGCCTTTGCCTTCTCCATGCAGGGCTGGAAAAGTCTCCTAAAACCGTGGAGAGCCACTGCCAGTTAGTGTAGGTGGTACTGAGCTAAATAATGGTCGGATTCAGAATAAAGCTTCCCATGTTCCTAGACATAGATGCTAAGTTTAAAAATCAAGTTTGTGATTTGGCATAAAAATGGTCGAAAGAGAAATGCATTGGGAGATTAACACCTGTAAGCTTAGTTGATTTCTCTTTAATCTGTTCTTGACCCTAATTCAGAAGTTTGAAATATAATTGCGATATTTTGTTTGGAGAGCTACTGAAAGAAAGGGTTCCCAAGATGTTGGTTATTTGCAAACCTCTGTGAATTATGGCTCACAGAATTACTGCAGTACAACTTGTTTGAAGACTGCGGTAAATATATAGCATTGGAAATGGTGAAAGTAAAAAAGCTGTTTTTCAAACATCACAATAATTGCCTTTCAATGGATGATCGAATCATAATTTGCAACTGTAACTATTTCAAAAAACGTGATTTATCTCCCATTTTTCTAGTTTGTTTTAACAATATAGGATTGCACCCACTGTACAGTTTTCTTTCATGGGTATAACTCCAAATCTTCTGTAGCAGAAAACTGGAAGTACATGGGAAGATTTTATATGTAAAAATAACAGTTGTCTCGATAGGTCTGAGAGGGTATGCGATGGTCTCAAATTCTTGGAGTATGCTTGTTTACCTGAAAGTCAAACATATGTCTAATTCTTCCCATTTTTTTTTCAATTGTACTGATGGGAGAGGCTTGTAGGGAGTAAAAACTGTTCCATGGGAGAAGGGCTCTGAAGAAGAAAGCTTTGTTCTCTGCACTGACACAACAGCTCCTGTACCCTGCTTCAGGATTTATTTTATCCAAGCAGGGCCTAAAAGACTTGGTTTGCACACAGTTATTTAACCTTTGGGTTGCTGAATTCTGGGTTGTCATGACGTGCAAAGCCAGCTTCCCAGATAACCGATGGTCTGCTAATTGACAAAATGCCAGAAAGAACGTATAGTTCATTGTTGGGTTGTTCAAAGTTTGGGTTGTCATTACCTGAAGACCCAGAACTGTGGGTTGATCGTGAGTTGCTTTGCCAGGCTACAGAGGTGGTGAGCAAGAATGGCAACCTGCACCTTCCAAAAGTGCAACTCTGCATGCCAGTACTACAGTGCCGCAAAGGCATTTGGAATACAGGGAGGGAGCGAGCAAAGGACAGGGGAAATGAACAACACAGGGATTGAGAAAAGAAACACAGCTTGTTCAATCATTTGCCTGACAATGCCTGGGTAGGGCAACAAACCATGGGTTAATGTTATGTGCAAATACAGTCAATGGATGGTTGATATTGTTAAGGGATGAGCAAGTTCTTCCACAAGGAATGATTGCTTTTAATATTACATTGGACACCAGGATTGATCTGTCTATCCATTTTAAGCTAATATCCTATGCACAATTATCTGGGACTAAATCCCATTGAACTGGGTGGAGCTTACCTGTGAGATGATATGTTGATATGCACTGCCAATGGGTTTTTAAAAGCTTACCTATATTGCTTTGCTTGTCATCCTCATATTTTACAACAGGGTAATGCAATGCCAAAGGGCAGAGGCAGGTCTTCCAACACATTTGACTGATTGCCTAGATGCAGCTGACATCCCTCCACTAGCTGCAATCCTGGAGACTCACAAACTTTCCCAAGTGCAATCCAAAAGATAAGGGAAAACAACTGAGTAGAAGTTTCTCTCTCCCGTTTTGATCTCTCTCCTGGCTTTTATTTCATATTCATGCTATTTTAGTGCAAGGCAAATGTTTTAGTTTACAGTAACTTAAAGTGTATAGAATATTTTAATATATTCATTTTTGTAAAGATTTTTCTAGTATTTGTAAACACATATTCTAATCTTTGAAAGTATCCTGATGATATGCAAGTTGCTAAACTAGTCACTTCTGTTATGAAAAGCGAATTCAGTGTAAATGCACTACTATTAGTTTTTCATGGGCATAAACATGTTAAATCTGTAGATATTTTGAACGTTTACAAGAGTCTTTACATGTTGAAGTCCTCCAAAATGAATGGTTCATTTTTAGAAAAGAAAAAAAATCAGTATGCTTTGTTTTGGCATATTCATGCTCTTTTGCACTAATAAGAATTTAACGTAACATTTTTGTGTTGCTTCCAGAAAAAAATGTATTAATCTAAAGTTAAAGCAAATTTGCACATATTTGCATGCTTCTGTGGCATACATGTTTCTCTTTCCATTAGTTTTCTGTGGCGTATTTTGCCTTAGTTTCATATCCTAACAGTAGCGTTTAGTAATCTTTTAACCTTAATCATTTTATCACTATTGTGCCAGCTGCTTCACATTTTTCCTACATGAGAGTAGGGAGAAACTCAATGCACACAGAAAAATAGATACCTGTCACAAATGATAATGTAACAGTGTGCGTGTTTTTACTACATCCTGTGTGGCAACTAAGTTACATGTGAAGCAGTTCTTAATAGGAATGTTAATCTGTTCCCAAACAAACAAAAATGTACTGAACAGAGGTATTTGGATGCTGTTTTATAAATAGTTGTTTACCAAATTATAGCCTAATGTGGCTGAATTATGCCAGTAAACTAGGTGAAATGCAGCATAAAGGCACAATCCAACAGGAACACTTTTTTGTAAACAACTGTTGTCTTTCCATTCATTTGAATGGGCCTTATGAAGGTTCCTATGGATTGTACCCCTTGGCATCTAAGTAAGTTTTTAAAATCCTTTTATTTTGAAGACTGGTTAAATGCATATGTGCAATAAAGTGAATATTTTGCACTTCATTATTCCATCAATGCCTAATAAATTAAGATGGGAATTACTTGATCTACAAGATCAGTTTTCAAGTGGATTATGATAATGTTAGTGCTTTACAATCATTCCTTGTTCAATAGTTCTTCTTCGAGGAAGGCCACATTTAGTCCATTTTACTGATGGACTGAGGGAAGGCTGAAGAAAAGTGACTTGCCTAAATTCACATGGTGAGTCCAGGTTTTATGTAGGACTTGAACCCGGTTTTACCAGCTTCCTCCCCTGCACTACTAAACATGGTGAGGAAGAAATATTTGGTCAAATGACTGCCAAGAAGAGATTCAGTACATCAGAACCCAATTTGTAGCCATTCCCACAATCTTTACAATAGTTATGCTGATGCAACTTGACATACTGCATCACAATCTATATTGCCATGAGGCAAGATATTTAAAGCCTTTTCGAAATGATAATAAAGTAGCACTTTCTGTTGGCTACTTCCTAAGAATGGGAAAAGGTACATCAATAAACTTATATATGACAGTGAGAGATGGTGATGGATGAATTCACCCTTGGCTGGGTGAATTCTGCATATCAAGCTGAAAAGGCCAAACCTCATTTGTAACTGCATGCACAAATACAGTATACATCTAATTCATCACAGGAATTCGCTTCACATATTAACTTTTTCTGAGATGAATTTTCAGCACCATATTGGAAAGGGGTGTCAATTATGCTACCTATATAAGAGTGTATTTGTGATGTGCTGACTTAAAGACAGAGTGAAATTAATGAGCATTTATTTGTTCACATTGTGATAATATACCCTTTCCTATTGCAAATATGCAACAATCATGTCAGAAAAGGTGTGTGTAGCAGCCATAAGATTCTGATTGTTCTTAGCAATTAAAATCACACAGGTCACAATGAATGTGGAATGTTTCGATTGTTCTTAACTAGTACTGTGAAATCTAAACTTCAGAACACCTCTATGGCCATGGGCTTCAAAGCTGGAGAAGGCCAAGGAGGTCCATGTGCTTGTTAGAACCGCGTCAGTTCTTCCCTGAATTGTGTAGACCAGCAATGTGCTTCCCTCTGTCTTGCTCACCACACGCTACTTCCAACTCTGGATTGAATCCAGATCTCCCAGTGGCCACAAGGTTGAAAAAAAGTATCTTTATATACTATAGGGAAACGCAAAACAGTTGTGGTGGATTTTTAAAAACAGGAAAAACATTTTGAGTTAGGGAAGCATGCTGTGACAGAATGTGAGAATTCTCGTTGTATGGCTACTTAGCTACTAATAACTTGATTGTAGATACATTACTTAACATATGATCTGTTGAGTATATATGTAAGTATTTTTGCACTTTTGAGTTCATATATTGTTTTTAAGGGTATGTCATGACTACCAAAGGTAAATTTGTGGCGGTGTTACTCTGGACCTGATTTTCTGTGTAAGTGTGCTTGTGCCAATAGGGCAGCTATCATATAATTTGTCCCATGTCTACAGCCCCTCTGCCCTCTATATGCATCAGATTAGTATCATGTATACCCCCTCCCCCCGTTTACATTGTATAACTATTTTTGTGGCCTGGTCTTCTCATAGCACTTAAAATGTATAAATTCCACTCTAAGGTTTATATTTGAAGTTTATTCTCTTTAATGTATCTAATACTTGGATATTGACCCCACTATAAGTTCACCTAAAGTATAAATTAATTCAGGTTGTTTGAGAAACTGGTGGAAACATTTTGTTCAACTTTGTAAACTATACATGTAACATCTTGTATAAAACTGAACCCATCTTGTAGCAACTTCAAAGAATAATAGACTTGGTATGAACGTTATAAATAGAAAAGTCCATACTATTTATGACATTCTGCATCATTTAACTTAACATGTTTTGTGACTATGGGTATCTAATTATGTGAACAACTGGCCTAGTTTGGACAATCATAGCAGTTTAATAAGCCAATGTGAATGAACCTCTTGCGCATGCATGTATCCCCTTTGTAGTGTGAACAAACAAGAAAGGTTTAACTAAAGTTTTAGCTGAGCCAGGAAACTATTGTTACCAGCTTCTTAACAAGCCATGATATGAAACTATGAATTACTTCTTGTGATTGCTTGTCTTGTTTGGAAAGTTATCAGTTCAGCTGCAATGAAAAACTGGTTAAATTAGAAACTTTCTAGTTTTATTGCAAAGGGAGGATTACAGAAGCTGCGAAAGTAAGTTTAAAAAACCCCTCACTCATACTTTGGCTTATTAAGCCAAGATGATCATCTGAACACAACCATTATGTATGATTTATAGCAATATTTGATCACAGTTTTTATGTAGAACACATCAGCAAGCCATAGACTAACAAAAATGAAACCATGGGTAACTGGAATGTGACAGATAGTTAAAGCCAGCTAATTAGTGTCTTCTGGCATATGACTGAAGTGGTCTCTACAAAGAAATTCAATATTTTGTACAACAATCTAAAAGTAGCATTGTTCTTTGTAATAATAAAGTGATTTGTCCTACTAATCATGTTTTCTTGTGTACTTTAAAACAATCTCTTCAATCAATGGAACTTTTACAAGAGGGAATATTTATAGGCAAGTGTTTTGTGTAATTTAGGAAGTACCTTGAGAAATCTATTTTATTGAGGTGTTCAATGAAAGTACAAGTACAGTACTTCAAGAAATTAGTTGTTTAAAAACTGGCTTTCACTTAAATTTGTTTTAGAAACACCTGGGAAGATAAGGTTGCAAGTCTTAGGCATATTGACAACTAGAGAGTAGGAATGAGCAACTATATTGAAACTATGCTCTTACCTGGCCATTTAAACCTAAAACATGTGAACAATGTCCATTATTGGACACTGCTGCTGCAAGTTGATAGAGACTGTAAAAGGGCAGTTAAAATTATATTCAGAGAAATTAACTAATTCAGCATTAAGTGTAATCATGGTGCAAATACTATGAATTGGAATATTCCCTCTTACAACATGATACAGAGGGCTCTCCAGCTATTTTGAGCTACCTGTCTCATAATACTTGACCACTCTCCATGGTTACTGTGACTGATGGGAACTGTAGTCCAAAGTGTTTTGGGAAGGCTGGTACAGAAAGCAGGCAACTGTTAATATAAGGCATCAGTTAACTGTAGAGATTAAATATATCCAGTTTTGTTAAGTTTCATGTACATTCTGGTGTTCTTCAGTTATTTAATCATGACCTTTTAAAACCAAATTTGGACATTGTTCCATTCCCATTGCATCTGTATCCTCCTACAAATAACACAGCAGTACTGATACCCATGCTATGTAGCATGAGAACCCATTATGCTAAAAAGAAGCGAATGTTTTAGGAACCTATGGATATGAGATTGTTTTATGTGGATTTTTACAAGCATCACACTGGCATCACATGCCCTACAGCTACCAGCGCTCCACAGCCAGTGTGACTGGCTTGGGCATGCTTGTACTTGTATAGCCTTTTTCTGACCAATCACCCATAGGATTGCATCCTTAATTTGTTTTCTTGCTCAGGTGTTCACTTTTTATCCAACTTGAATTTCATTAGAGGCTGGGTTGAGTCATGTAGTGGCTCAGTATAAGACTTCCATTGTTTGGGAGGATATACAATGCACAAGCGTTAAATTACCATTTAAAAAAAAAATCCAGAAGCACAAATCAGTCCTGGTTAGGTTCATGCAAAAGTGGATCAGGAGTCAATTTTGATCATAAACAGCCAGTGTATTGTAACAACATATTCCAGGAAATTAAGTTGGCAACAAGCCAGTCAAGCTTCCAGGAAAACAGCTTTTCAAACTCGACACATTTTTTAAAAGTGCATATTATCTACAGGTTTCTAAAGGTAAATAATGAATAAAAACAACCATCCTAATTAATTTCTTTTAAACCATTAGGAATGATTAACTAGGTAAGCTTAAAACAACCAACCCATGAACTGCTTTGGCAAGGAAGCCTCTGAAAGCTTGAAGCCTGGGCTGATGGTCAACACACAAATACCTGGTGAAATGTACATCTGGCTAATTCTGTCCTCCTGACAAGAGTCTCTCAATGTTTTGTGGACTGTTGAAGAATGAACTACAGTTCCTTCACTACAGTGGTTTAGAATAGGAGCTGCTTCTTGTACCAGAAGACTATCATCCATTAGGAAATGGGTGGTTAAATGTATGAATAAGGCCTACTTGGGTTAGCCTTACTTCACAATAAAGCTCACATGCCTACCAAACCAAGGTAGCATTTGCGCTTTTAGCTTAGATAAAGTGTATATAAAACAGGTCAGCATTTGATTTTACAGTGGGGACACTTAAGTGCAGAATAATGGAGTGATGCTTTCATGAAACGCTGGGCAGTGAGAATATAAAGGAAATATCAGTTACTGCTGCCTACTCAATGAAATCTTAATCCTGGACTGTGATTTTTCTGAAACTAAAGCCACCGTGATTCTTCACAACAGCATTTGCAATGGGGTCACTGCCTGTTATGCACTCTCTTTGAGCAGAACTGAACTTAGGGATACTGGCTTTCATGCATTAGTAACTGAATGATGCTGCATCATCACAATTGTTACACAACTCTAAAAACTAATATAAAGGTACAGACAGTCTTTGCAACAATCTGTTCATCTACAAAATTAAGTATGATTTTTTTAAATATACTGTAGTTTATTGCAAAGCCAGAAAACAGCCAGCAAGTCCTCCATTCCAGATCCATTCTAACACATGCATAAACCTGCACACACTCCACGGATATCATAAACATTTGAGAATCCCCACAGATCATGGAAATGTAGATATATGTTTTTAAAAGATAATTTACCCCCCAGACTAATAAATTGTTACAATTAAGTATCTTCTTTAAAGATATCATAAATTAAAAAGGGTTTATTTCAAAAGCAGTGAGGCAAATGTTCCTACTCAATGGGAACCAAAAACTACTACATAATTCTAGTTTTTCCAAAACAGGGACTGCACTACAAGGTACAGTTAACATTGTAATTGGGCACCAGACAATCTACAGAACTGGCCCCGCACACAAGACAACTATTCTTGTCTAACTTCCCTCCATTCTCATTATTAAGCTTGTGCAAATTAGTTCCTGATAGATTACATCTCAAGCTTCTAATGCTAAGATCTAACAACTGGTTACCTCTGGATTCACATTAATTCAATCATTACATTAAAAACACTGGGAGCACTTCTTGTGAACTGCTGGCGCTTGAGGAATTCCCTTTCAGAGTTAAAATATTAATAAATAGTTAACGTAACTTTAGTCATGCAAGGCAGTTACAAAACAAAAGGTCATCTCAATTTTTATAATAAAGGCAACTTGCATTCAAAATGAACGGTACCCTTATGTTTTATTCAAAGGGTAAACATGAATTAAACCCAGTTGTTTACTTGAATTACAAAAGTAACATGATTCAATATGAAAATAAGAAACTGTCTACAAATCTCTGACAGTAGTAAATTGCAATATACAATGCATACAGGAGTTATACAGAGCAACAAACTCTCGTACAAAACAAAAATACTTTAATACCTTTAAAATCGAATTTCTTTTAAAATTATTCATGAAAAAAGGTTTGAGTCAGAGTTCACACCCCAATTAGTCAAGCCTCAGGCAGCTACATTACAGCTATTGAATATACAAAGTGATACTTCTTTTTTCACCAGCCATTTCAAACCAATGTTTCTTCTCTTTTAGCATTTTCTAATCCCTTGTCCATCTCTCTCACATCCCCAGATCCAAAGCCATCTTCAAATCATGAGAACTGAATTTGCTGAACACCAGAGATCTAAGGTTTAAAAATAAAAAAGAGGTTAAATTTCAATAAATAACCCCAGAAACACACCCATGCAAGTCCAAACTAACAACATACTTGCAAGCCCAATCTATGACATAACTGGCTTGTTTGCTGTCCCTTTTGCTTGTTTTCAGCGGTCACTGAAGAAATTGGGACAATTTAAATATAAACTAAGTGAAGAAGAGAAAGGAATGCTATACCTGTTGATAAGATGTTGTGTACACCATAACATTTTGCTGTTGGCCATCTGTAGTTATCAAACCTGCTGGTAACTGGTTAGCTAGAAAAGAGAAAGCAGTTTCATTAACAGCCAGTTCAGTGGACCTGTTCACATATCACAACAACTCACTGTGGCCTGATTTACCCATGGAGATGCCTAGATTTGCCATGGTTAGAAAAATCTTAAATAATCCTAAAACAAATGTAATGGTTATTGAAAACCCATTGCCTTGGTTCCCAAAACACAACAACCATGGCAAGCCAGATGCCCACAGCACCTGATATAACACAATAGCTTCCAAGGGTAACTTAAGCTATGGTGGGCTGTTGTGCCTTGTAAACAAGGTAAATGTGTTCATCATTAAGTCAAAATAACTATGGTGAAACTATTGTACAATATTTGCATACTGCCAAATCACATCTAATCTCTTTCATTAGTCATGTTAAAACAGTGACACAGAGGTGCCTAATTTGAGTTATATGAGGAAATGAAATTTTAACTTAAGACAGTGACCAGGCCACCTAATTTGGAAACTGAAGAAAAATACACTAGCATGGGTAAGAACATGAAATTAACATGCATCTTAGCTTTTATAACCTCCAGTTGGGAGTAAGACTGATTTCACCCTTGCATAACCCTGCAACCTACTGGTTATGGGCAGGTTGTTTAACTCTAAAAGGCCAAGTTCACAAGATATGACACCCTGTGTGTCAGGAGTTGCACATTGATAATGGCACCCAGGATGCAGCTTCCTTGATGGGCTGCTTTAGCATCTAAGCAAGTTCGATGTCTGCCAAATGACACATATAGTACGCAACCTTTACCCACCATTACAAACCTATGGTAACAGGAATGCAATGTTTCTGGGGAAAGCAGGTATCTCCAAAGGCACAGGTAAATGTAACGGCACAGGTAAATTTAATTCACACTTTGATTTTAAAAAAACAATTTAGCAAATATGTATTTTATTATATGTGACTGATAAATTCCACACATGGCATTGAATCCAACACTCCCGCTTCTCTGATGAAAGCAGTCCCTTCAGCAGAACAGGGAGGAATTCTTTCCACATTCCTGGTAGCTGCCTGCATGCCCTCAAAATCTGCTCTGGAGAATTAGGAAACTTTCCAGAGCAGATATTCAGGTAGCACTGAGGGTTTCAGGGGGAGAAGAGAGGGAGGAAATCCCATCATACTACCAGACCATACCTTATGCAAAATTAAATCTAACCTTTTGGGAATTCATTTCAAAATACTGCTGTTAAAGTAACTATACAGCTTTATTCTCAGAATTATAGCCAAGGTAGCCCTGATGCAGTTACGTCAAATTTTACTAGTTGCTCCACCTCTCTGCATGAGTACCCACCACCTATGAACCATTATTTTTATTTGCAGGCACTCAGGAGTCCTAGATAATCTTAGCAAGGAAAAAATGAGCACTCCTGACCTCTAATAGATAAAATTGAATTCTGTGAAACCTATGCAAAACAAACCCAAACTGCCAGTTATAGCAAAAGAATAAACAATGCTTGTTGGAAAACCTCTGCCTTTTTCCTCTCCATTGTATGGCAACATCTGATGTGAGGAAGGAGAACGCTACAAAACAGTCTTTTAATTACTCTGCAATCAATAACCAGAGTTCTTTGCTGCTTTGAAGGGCGACTGCATATACGTCAAGAATAGTGGAATGTGTACACTGTTCTAGTATGGCAAAAGAATTGAGGGTACATTGGAGTTGTTATGGTGCAATGGTATTATGTAAAGATTATGTAAAGGTGGACCCCCCCTGTGCAAGAAGTATTGGGAAACATGGATCCCACGTTCCATCCTTAAGTGAACAAAGGACAAATTCCTGCTTGCTACTCTTAAGCAATGAATTTGACCATAAATTAAACACTGCATTGAGTTCAAAGGCTTAAATATTCATAACTGAGGAATAGTCACCTGCAGGGTAGTACAGAAATGAAATAAAATGATTTCTACATGCAGAATGACACTCCAATAAGCCACAAAGTTAGGTCATCGGGTGACAAATAACACATTTGTGAATTGCTCCTCACAGATCAAACACAAGCATCTTTAAGTGTTAACTAAAACTGTTGAAAATAATGTACATGCATGCAGAAACTACCCCAAAAGTGTAAGCCACTAAGCCTAACTTCCAATTCATTTAAAGTCAACTTTCATGGACTCCTATACAATTGATGTGGTAGCACTAGTTGCTTTCACCTTTTTGGGCATACAACGGTCATGCAAATATGGTCCAAATTAACAAGCTTATTGCAATCACATGTTAAGCAACAACAACCAGAGCTATTCCTGTAGTTTTGAGTGATACTTACTAAATGCTTCCTCTGTGAGCTCCTCGCTAAGGCCATCTGCTGTGTTAACTGTTCCCCCAATACCCTTTTCTCCCTTCATGGCCTTGAAAAAACAAACAAACAATGTTTGCATGAAGCACTTTCAAAGTGCAAAGACAAGTTTTGTACATTTTGAATTATCTGTGTTGTAGTTTCAAATAAGCACATTTTTCAAACCCGATCACAGAATCCTGTACGTAACATATTCGTATGCCACAAATTATGGCAATATTCATTATATGAATCTCTCGCAGGATCTTTAGCTTCTATAGAAAGACTTGTGTGATTAATCAGAAATGACCTCCAATTTCCATTCTATAACCAGACCTTATAGTAAGCTGCTGGAAGAAAGAGTGCAGTGAAAGAGTCCTTAGGACTGGAACTGATGTGTTCTGAAACAACTAGGAACATGCAGGAGGTTGCCTATCTGGAGTGGTCCAAGCCATCACTCCTGCTTCTGAAACTGCAGCAGCTTCCCCTCAATTTCAAAGGCCAGGTTGTGTTTAACTGAACCTTTGTGCATGCGTCACTTGGCACATGAAAGTGTAAAGGAAGCACTACCACCCCAACACACATAGACACTCCAAAAGTGGCATTAAACCTCACAGAGGAACAAGGTGTGAAAACAGATCATCTATGCTGCATTAGTAACAACGGCCACCTGACACAGTGGCGATTGCTGCCCCTTTGCCTACTGTATGATTGCATCATATGCTCAGATAAACCATTTACCAGCTTGGGATACATAAAAACAGTCAGCGCCAACTGAATGTTTTCTTGGAGCATCTTCCACAGCTCTCTTCCTTCTACTGCTTGCTTACTTTCTTATTCTGGAGTGGATTTGGTGGTGACTATTCTGCTGTGGCACTACTCACAGCAAATACAATAGTAAGATGGCAAACAAGCAAACAGCGATAATAATGTTTATCTGCTACAATCTGCTCACCTTTTTTACTACTTGCTCATCCTAGTAAGTCACTAAGTAGCAATCACAAAGAGTGGCATCAACAGCCACCAAACCATGAGAGAACTTGGATGATGGGGTTGTGCGAGGGTTAAGCACGCTACACATAACCTGTGGTCTGTTCTAGGGTTCTGCAAAATTTAACCACTGCCACCCGGGTTTGCACAACATGGCAAGCCAAGGCAACCAGCAGTTGGGGTTTGCATATTCAGAATGACAGCCAGCAGATGTTGCAGCACACTAAGGGTTCATTAACCCACAGTAGCTTGTCATGATGTGTGAACTGGCCCAATGGGTTACAACAACTCCTCCTCCTCCTCCTATTTCCTCAAGCTCTTGGCCTTGATGCACACGCTAGAAATTAAACAGATTCAAGATGGAGGGGTTTGGATTTTTTTAAAACTGAAAAGCAGTACAGAAATTCTCTTCAACAAACAAAGAAGCATTACAGATCCAGAAACAACAGAACTTTGCATAAGGTAAGTTGCTAAATACCTGGAGTGAGGAAGGGGACATGAGCAAAGAAGAAAGAAAGGAGACTTGTCATGTCAAGTTATACAGACTTCACTTTGTGGAAATTCTTGTGCATGTGCTCTTCAAGACCTTACACATTAAATAAAGCAAGTTCAATTAATGCACAAGTTAATTAAGATACAGAGCAAAAGCAGCAAATTCATACATACAAGCTGCTTTTTAGTGTAAGGCACCTGAACAGCAAGATATCTGCTACAGATTAGAACTAGGCCAAATCCTTCAAGGACATCACTAACAGACCCATCAATTCAAATGAACAACTTTATAAAAATGAAAAAAAATAGCCAGTAACATTCTGAAAACATTCTTCTATCACATACATAACAGGGAAATTACAAGTCAGTCACAGAAGAGGAAACTCTGGAAAATGTTGCAAATAGGCTGTTAAAAAGAGAAGCTTACAAACCTCCCTGAACTTCTGAAGATACAGCTTCAAAGGTTCGACGTAGCTATCAAATCCCAGGGTTGACATAGCAAAGAGAATATCCTCGCCATTTATAGTCTTTCGTTTTTCTTGGTGACACCTCTCACTCGCTTCTGATGTTATAAAGCTGATGAATTCACTTACACACTCCTGCACGCACTCCTTTGCATCTTTAGCAATCTGAAAAAGTATGTTTTTATACAGTAAACCAATCCTACTTCTTATTTTAATCTGAATTAACCCTCAAATACATCAAAGTAAAATTGCCCATAAAACTAACCAATTAATTTACTAAAACCTGAAACATTACAATGAATTCCTCTGAAATTTTTGAAGGAGTGGCAGCTTCTTTTTAGTATGAAAAATGAAAAAAATACTATTTATTAAGAGATTGGAATTTGTCCCACCACTGGGAGCTTGTGTATCTTCCATGAGAGGAAAATATGAGAATTCTCTTCTGGACAAGATAGAAATGTGGAAGAACAGGAAACAAGATGCACTTGTCACTCCCAATGTAAATATCTCTGCATCTAAATCAGATCCAAATATTTGATCTTAAAACCCCACTGAATGCAACCTAATGACTGTGATCTAGTTCAAAAACTCTACAAAATCCAAGCTTCTTGATTCTGCTTTTGATGAAGTAATACCAGCAAATTTCTCTTTGACCTATTAATTACCTTTCCTGTCTGAGGTATAGCGTTCTTCATTATCCTTGCCACATTTGCAATGGGAAGGTATATATCTTGTTCTCTAAAACTCTCTTTGGAGCCATTAGTGTCTTCATGATCATTCATGCTGTCCTCTGTATCTAAGAGAACGTAAGCAAAGATTAGCTGCATATAGTATGGACCTTTAATTACTCTGCACCTATGCTTTATTTGGAAAATCACCTCCCGTGTTTCTCACATTAGTCTCTGATCATCAAAAGTGCTGCAGAGCAACAACAAATTTTTTCATATCTTTCAGCTCCTTCAAACTGAAGGGTTCATGCCACCGGCCTTATAACAATTAACTAGCAATATTAGGGGTTAAACAATCCAGAGTTAACATGTTATTTAATGTTGGTTAATGCTGAGTTCTTTAGCCCAGAATCAATTCAGAAGTTTCTGGTTCAGTTTTCATGACAACCCAGGAATGAGGAATTCTTAAATTTTAAATTGAAAACAGAAGCTATGAATATATAAGAAGCAGCATTCTCATTCCTGCTGGTATCAACAATTCTTGGATCAAAGAAACCAGAATTAGCTGTTATATGCAAAGCACATCTCTGAATGCTACAAGTATATTTAAATGTTTGATTCAATGAAACTGTGGCTTAAAGTCACAGGCACTGTATCCTAACAGTGTATTCTAACAGAAAAAACAGAAAATTAGTTTAATTGCACATAATTAAAAACAAGTGCAGGGAACAATACTACAGATTATTTAGAACATATTAGACAATGAGCATATGAGCTTATATGTAAGAGCCAGCAACTTGTGGCCTTCCAGATGTTTTGACCTAGAGCTCCCGTTAACTTTCACCATTTGTTGTGCTGGCTAGAGTTAGTGAAAGTGCAGCTCAAAAATTCTAGAGGGTCACATACCACTCACTGCTGCTCTATAAGGGCAAGGAAGGATAAACTGAAGAAAATGCCAGCCTATAAAGTTAAATAAGTTTGAAAATGCACATGAGGTAAGTCTCCTCCACAGCATCTCTGTGGGTGGTAATACCAGACCCCCAATGCCTTGCTTTCTACTGGGACCTATCACTACCTAACCAAAATGTTCAGGGTAATCTTGAGATGCCGAATGAGACCAGGGAGGCACCCACAGTACACTTCTGTCACTCACATGGCAGATGCATATAATCCTCTGAACTAGGAGGCTTACAAGCATCCAGTGAGATACAGTAATACAGATCTTTGCCACTATACCTTGTGCCCTGCATTTTCTCCAGATGGCTGTTTAGATTTAACACCAGGGAGGGGGAAGGAAAGAGGCTGGGCCACTGACTAGAATTGTGTCAGCTCTAAGATTCTTTGTCCTCCCAGCCAACATGTTAGAAGAAAAAGGTGTCCTTCAGAAAATGGAAGTCTAACCCAGTTGAGAAAAACAAAGAGGAGAACAAACCTGCACACACACAAAATACAAGCAGATGATAAGGAGTGCCAACCCTCCCCCAATAAACAAACAAGTCAAGGCAAGGGGTGGAACAATTTAAGTATATTAGAAACAGGAAACCAGCTAGAATCAACCAGACAATAAGGAGTCAAATGTGTAGGAAGAGGACAAGGAGGTTGTAGAAGAGCTGAATGAATTCTTTGTGTTTGTTTCTATTTGGAAAACAAAGCATAGATACTTCTGTGTGAACTGACATTTTCAGAAAGAGAGCCTGAAAACTGAGACTAACAATTGTGCCAAGCAACTGAGTTCTAGACCTTACTGAAAATTTTAAAATTAAGAAGTTCCAGATCATATCCACTTGGGAGTCTGTAAGTTCTCAATTGTAAAACAGCAAATCTTCTAACAAAAATGTCTCTAAGTCTGAAATCTGTACCAGAGGCCTAGAAAGCAGCCTATGTAACAAGTCTTTTTAAAAAGGGGATCCTGGGGTAACAGGATGGTTAGTTTAGGGCACAATCCGATGCATGCATAGACAGAAAAAAATGCCATGTCAGCTGGAGAATGATGGGAACCTTGTTTCTCTTCCAAGTAATCTGATAGAAAGCATTATTCAAGGTTAAATTATCATACAGGCAGAGGAACAAGTCTTGCTGAAGAACATAGCTTCTACAAATGTAACTCTCCATTGTTACAGTTCTTTGCAACCCTTTACAGTTCTTTGAGAGCATCAATAAGCATGTGACTGGGGTGATCCAAGAGACATTTACTTGAACTTTCAAAGGCCCTCACCTGAATAGACTAGCACTAATGAGATAAAAGGTTTAGTTTGTGGTTAAATAACAGTAAGAATGGACAGTTTTCATAATGGAGGCATGTTAAAGATTGGTATTTCTGAAAGATCTGTATTTGAACCAGTGATTTTAAACTTATTTATAAATCATCTGAAATTAGGAGTGAACAGTAAGAAACCATGTTTGTTGATGACATGAAATTATTCAGAGTCATTAAACAAAAAAGTATTACCAGCTCCAGAAGGCTTTCTTTGCAGCAGGTAATACAATTGCAACTGTAGTTCAAAGTAATAAGTGTAAAATGATGCCCAATGAAGCAAAACCTCCTAATTTCACTTTCACAGTGATGGAAGCTTAGCTGGCAGGGAATAGCTCAATAAAAATATTGACCTAGTGCACAATACTAGGAGTCTTTCGGAAAAGAATAAAAAATAAAATACCCAGTATCAAAAATATACTATACAAATGTATGGTCCAACCACACTTGGAACAGGTATTGTAGTACTGAAAAATTGCAGAAAAATGGAATCAAAATGATCAGGTGCCAGAATGACTTTGTGTGAGGAAAGTTGCGGTATTGGGAGCTTTTCAGTTAAGAAACAAAGTGAATACGGGGAAGGCTTGATTAAAAGTGTACAAGTCTGCATGATGTGAAGAAAGAGGATTGAGAAGTGTTTTTTCCACTTCCTTCTCTCATAATGCTAGAATCTGGGGTCATCCCATGAAACTGCTTGGTGGAAAATTCAAAAAAGGTAAAGTGCTTCTTCATATAACACATAGTTAGAACTATGGAATTTGCTAATACATGATACATTGATAGCCACCAATTTAGGCAGCCATGAAAGTGGATCAGAAAAATTTATGAAGATTAAGGCCACAATTGCTAGTGGTCAAGATGGCTATATGCTACCTCCATGATCAGGAGCACCATGCCTGCCTTAATGCCAGTTGCTGGGAAACTACAGTAGGAAATTATGGCTTTTTATCTGTTTCCATGTGTTTTAGAATATGACAGTACTAACTTGTGGTATGTATTTCCAGGATATATTATACACGATACACAATCAGTTATCCTAAATAAACCCCCACAATAGTGGTCTCAAAACTCATTAAACTGTTTTTAAATTAACACGAAGTTCTGTTAAAAGACATGTTGTGGATAAACAGTAGACAAACATTATCCATATGAGTCTTTTTCACAGCACAATCCTACTCAGAAGTGAGTTTAATGGGGCTTATCCAAAGCAAGCATGCATCAAATTAACACTGCTGAGTGTTTCACAGAAGAGCCATGAACTGAGCACAGTACTGCTTCTCAGTCCTATTGCCCAGACATCTTACACATACTATCATGGGATTTGTTTTGTTTTACTTTAGGTGCACTGACTCATCTCTTCTATATAGCCCCAACCTGTAATGTGAAGAATGGGTATAAGAACCAGCATGGTCCTTACTAATACATTACTTACCATCATGAGGCTGTATCACATAGTGACTACTACCAATGTAATCTCCAGCAATTCCCAACTGGGAAGCATCTGTTGTTGAATTATCACCATCCATCTGAAATAAAAAAGATGATTTCCTAAGATAGCCAACTCAATTTTACTAATTATATCACTTCTAAAAACCTGAGCACCTGATCGTTTATTTCTGATTCAAATCACTTTTGGAAATATAAACAATATTGCATGCCTGCTATCTCTGGACTGTGTTTGATCTTGGCTCCATATCATTCAATAGCTTATTATTCAGATGAAATCTTCTAGTATTTTCGTGCACAGCAGTACTTCTATTATTCATGACTAGTATGAAGCTATGCTATTCCTGTGTTATCCAAAAGAATACATTATCTCTCTCAGAAAAGTAATCTATTTTGCTTCTACTTCCACACTCCAGGAATGGATGCATACAAGGATCATATATTAGGACTTTAAATAAATGCCAAAGGTTAAATTAAAAGGCTATAGTTTTTATGGTATGGTATATTCTGTGTAACAGGTGTTGCTGTTTATGAAGTCACCCAAAATTCTTCACTAAACAATGCTGAGTTTATTTTTCTGTTAAATATTAAATTGTTTGGATAACCTCTTTCATGGTTTGGTTCTGCTTCAGGAGAAGCATTAAGTTGAAAAAAACTGCCTGTTGCACAACTAAGGATGGTGACAAGTTTTCAACTATCTCAAAAAGTGTCCTATGTGATCTCTCTGTTGTAATAGGGCTCTGATACTATATACAAGTTCTCATGGCCAACATTCCATTATTTTAATTTGCTCTACTATGTAACTGTTGACAGTAGAGCAACCCTAATCCTAGAATCCAGTATCCAAACTCAATATTGTAGCCACTTTATAAATGTTAGCCCCACTTTTGCATGAGTGCTAAATTTATACATACAGGTTCTATTTAATTGGTATGCATATTCCAAATATTCCACTATAAATGCAACATATATCAGTGTCTGTATCGATTCCTCTGATGCATGCAATGTGGCATGCATGAATTACAGCAGTAATTGATGCACATTTCAAATAAATTATTTCACCAAGTTGTTATGGTAAATTATTTTACAGAAGAGTTAATTTACTTTTCAAATGTCACTGTGGTCAGCATTCCATTCTCCTGTAAAAGTAAGTGGCTACAGTTAAATTGTATTATCCTGTACTGGTTAAACCTTGATTCTAGGCCACTAAAATTTAGGGGAAAAATTAGGATGCAATGTTTTACATATATTATTATCCAAATTGCAGAGGCAAGTTTCCTCTATAGGTGTATGCCAAAACAAAGTCAATAGTGGAACAATATATATATATATATATATATATATATATATATATATATATATATATATATTAACAGGAATGTGCTTGTAGGTGTGGCTATAAAAAGAGTCCCTGTCAATGGCAACTATATAAATATACACACAACTGTTCAGTACTAAAAAAATTTGCAGAAAACAGCTTTAGCATGACACCAAGAATAAAAGATAGTTAATTTCTTTCTTGCAGTTAGAAAGTGTGGCATGTGAATACTGAATACAATCCATCCAACTTCGATCCTTGCAAATGTAATTCAATTCAGCAGTTTTCATTAAAGATGTCCCAATTGACTGCACTCAATCTAGAGAAGTTATGCAAGTGTTAAGCTTCACTGAAATTAGCAATGCTTATGTGTTACCTTAAATATGTTGTATTCTTTTTACTCATTTTTTTCAGAAGCAATAGATGGTAGGGGCTTTCAAAAGGATAGGACGTCAAAAATACAATTTCGTCCAACTACTTCAGTAACTAATTCACATATGTACCAACACCATCTAATGCTCCTCTACAACTTTATCACCAGTCTGAAGACTTAAAAAATAGTTTCGTTATGTGATACACACTGGTTAGGTCACAATACTAAATCATAAATGAGCATAAAAATAAGCCTAGCCTCCCACCAGTCTTATGCACTCATCTCTGCTTCTCATGATACTGCACTGAGTTCAAAAGCTTTTATTTCTGCTTTTGATTACTCACAGCTTGCCAAACTGAACTGCAGTTACACTTAACTATAGCTAATAGAAACAAGCCAGCTTTGAGTGATAGCTTATGAAAACTTGTTTTCAGTAACCACAGTTAACTTTAACCAGAGTTCAGTATTTAGATAACATATTAAACTACTGTTAATCCAAAAACAGATCTGCTCCTTATGCCACACAAGAGAGGGAGAGCATGAACCATCAGGTGGTTGGAGTGAGTTCATCTTCATAGCACTAGTCCAGGCTTCCGCAAACTGGTACCCTACAAATTCACTACAATTCACACCAATCCCCTCTGCAATGCAAATTTATAAAGTGAAGACCTTGGCCCAACTTATTTATGGCACCCCTATTCGATTTTTGGGATTTTATTCTCAAATAGAAAAAGTTCAGTCTGGTTTTCTTAGGAAGAAGCTCTTGGGCCATCCTCCCTATGTGTGGAATGCAGTCATTTATCAGAAGTGGGAATTAGATCTGTTGAGTTCAAGGCATATACTGAAGCCTTTAAATGGTGGCTACATTTACTTTTTCTAGCAGCTCCTGGTAGCTATCTTTCTCTACTACTTTCAGATATATATGTTACTCAATGGATAACAGTAATGGACAAGAAGCTACACAGGCTAGGTTTCTCTGCAGAAGTGTTGGGCAATTATAAATAGATGTAGATCTTCAACATTTGAGAACTGCTGGTAATAACTTGTTTCTCATTATTTCATCTTAACTCTAACAACGGCTATAATGCTGGATTTACTCAAGTTCATATCTGTATACATTAACTATTCCCAAGTACAGATGAGCATTTACTTTTGTCCATTTTAATGTGCTACCATCAGCACAATTTAACAAGACCCCAGTCAATGAACAGGTATTTTCCTCTGGTGCTGGAACAGTAGAAACACTGGAACATGTTCTTCTATATTGCAGCTTTTATACGGAATGCAGAGTGAAATTCATCAAACCATTAATAACAGTTCTTTATGGGAATAATTCTTCCACTCTAGTGTCTATTTGTTTAAGAAATGTTATGCTACTGGAAGGACTGCCAAATTTTTAATGACTGCAACACAGATTAGGCAATATGTGGTCATCTGCTTGAGTGAAAATATTGTTTAAATTCTACTTGTTTTAACTGTATTTTAATTTTTCTACTGTGATTTTATCTGTTTATTAATTTTCCTGGTCTGTGACCATTATATATAAATAATCACATTAGCCCCAGCTAGGATGGGCAGTCTTCAGGAATGATGGGAGCTGTAGTTCAAAAGATATAAAGGACACCAGGTTGGGGAAGGTTGTCCTAACCCATGATACTGTTCATGACAATGTTAAATCATGGTTATATCTTAAGTTAACCACTATGTTACAAGCAGACTGGCTAGCAAGCATGAGTAAACCTAACCCAGAAAACTACAATACCTTGAAATCAAAATTCACTTTCGTGTAACTTTTGACATTAAAAGTTGCTAGTTGAGTTAAAAAGAGAAAGAAAACATATTGACTCTAAGATTCTTCACAGCCCAAGGATTTGTAATGGCATAATATTCAGCCAAGACTGTTCTTCGAAGAAGATAATTTATACTCCAAGTAAGAAACCAAGCTCCAGTAAATTGAAAGTCATGATGCTCTTATTTCTAGTATTCCTACTGTATTGAGACCACTGTTAGCATGTATTGCCTATTCTGAACTAACAGTTATGTTTTCCAAGACTACAATACTTGGTTATTGTTTTGTTTTCCAAGACTACCAGAACAATCTAACATGAAGATTTATCAGTGGTTGCATAGACAGTATCATGGGAGGAAATGCCATTTAGCACTTTCAATATTAAATCCATAATTATAGTAGAAGGTTGCCAGCATGACAACTTTCTCCCTCTCTTCTTACCCGGCAACCCTCCACATGCCCTGCATATACCCTCAAGAGGGTTTCCTACAGCAGGATTTTAATGAGCTAAGTTAGTTTTAGTGCAACTATTCACCATTCAACACATATCAGATTCCCTTAATCTAATTTACTCATTCAGTCTGCAATCTTATACACTCTTATCTGAAAGTAAGACCCATTGAACTCAGTGGGGCTTGCTTTTAAATAGGCATACACAGGATTGCACTGCAACTTCAGTATATAGCACATCAGGCATTTCATAAATAAATAATCTCAAATGTACTCTTCTCTATGTATTCTACTAGTTTATGTTTCCACTATGCTTTCTATTTTTGTCATAGAACTTGCCATGCTGTGCATACAAGTTCGCACAAGTAGTCACAGGCAATTGATACTAGCTCTCCTGTTATTCTATCTTGTTGTTGCAAATGCCCATGAGTAAAATCACACATAAGAAGTTCTGCACTACTGAAATTATACTAAGTATAATATAAAACACCATGTATAATTACTTGTTGTGCCACTGCTTGCCCCAACCTTACATAGAATTTACTTCCAAGTTTTACTTCATCAGTAGAACATTTACATCTAGGCCACACATTTCCTTAAATAACTCCCTTACTTAATAGTTTACCAAAAGTTAGTTTTGCTCAACTGAAGTTCACATCACCTTGCTATTTAACCACTTACTGATTTATACCACCTTGTAAAAACAAACTTAATGCCCATAAATGGTAGGTGCTCTCAGGGAACCGGCAAATCACATACACCTTGTATACAGAATATGTTCAAAGTTTCAGTGAACTGTACCCCAAATGAAAGGACAAGAAGAAGACAGCAGATGTATACAGACACATTTGCTGCTGGTTGTTGTTTTTTAAAAGCATAACTGAAAGGTGAAAACAATTAAATGTCTTGTGGCACCTTAAAGACTAATGCTAAAAACGAAGATTATGTCCATCAAAACTTTTGCCAGAATAAATGTGTTAATTTAAGGTTCCACAAAGTCTATTGCTTTTGCTGTAACAGACTCTCACAGATACCCCTCTGGAAATGGTTAAAATGCAACACATACGCTGCCCTAAAAAAAAAAAAAAAAAACAGGATACCTTTAAAATTTACACCACTGCAACTTGAGCTTTATTTTTACTGTCTCAACAGTAAAATCTCTTTTTGTCTACAAATTTTAGCATGAACAAATGATGAATCATTTTGTGGCAAACAAAACAAACAAAATTGACTAGAGATTTTTTTAATCCACAAAACTCATCAAGGGAGCAAGTCGATTTACATGTAGATTCACATAGCCCACTCAGCACATATGTGCACATTTAAACATAGCAAAAACAAAACAAAAAATGCAGATTGCACGATGTCACTTTACAGTAGTTGTGTACACACAATAGAAAACAATGTCTTCTGCCAAAATATCAGTAAACTCTTTGGCTTGAAGATGGTTATGTTACATGGACAAGGAGACTTGGCAAGAAGCGTGAAGAGAGGCCTGCATACGTGATACAGAAAGCACAACTCCTAGAACAAGCCAGAGGAAACGAGGAACCTCACTGGAAGTGAAGTGCTGGGACAAGGCCACACTGTCGAGGGGGCCAAGACATCCAGCAATGTAGTTCCACAAAACCCACCCACCTCTGCGGTCCTTATCCGTCGAGATCAGGACGAAGCGAGAGAAGAGCAGGAGGTCTCCTAATGCGGGAGATGCTTTTTGACAGCTTCCAAGTTCCCCCGCCCCGCATCCAATCCATGTTCGAAGGTGAGGAACGGGGAGGGGGAGCTGGACCGGGGCGGAAAATCCATTAGAAACCCCCGAAGTGGTGGACAGGGAAGCAATCCAGCCGCCCCCTCGACCCATTTTCTTGAGCGATCTTCAGAAAATGGGATGGGGGGGGGAGATTAAAGGAGACAAAAGCTCATCTATATAAATAGACCCAACTCCACCCCAGGAAGGGAAAATGAGCCGGGTGCGGTGGGTGGGGGGAGGAGGAGGAAGAGAGGAGAGCGGCCCCGGCTGGAAAACATTAGGCAAGCCTCTGAAGGCGGTACACAGCGGGGGCGCCGCCGCTCCTTGTAGCCGGGTGACCCAATGGTGCCCCCATTGTCTCGTCTCATCCCTCCGCCCGCCACTGCCGCTCCTCTTCCGCCGCCCCCCTCAGGTCGGGAACGCGGGAAGGGAGCAAAGGTGCCTGGAAGGATTGTTTACTCGGGCGGCAAACGCGCTGCCGGGCTTCCTCGCCCCCATCCCCCACCCGCGCTAGTTCCAGATGAGCCACCCCCGTGTGTGGGGACACCTTCCTCCCGCCTAGCCGCCCTTCCAGGGAACAGCTCCTGCCGCCACAGCCCCTCTCCAGCCTCCCTTCGCGGGCCTCTGTCATCGCTCCCCGCCTTTTTTTTTTTTTTCCAGGGGCCCGGCAGACAGAGAGCGAGAGCCAGCCAGCCAGCGCCGCCGTCTCCTCCCCCCTCTCGGCGGCGGCAGTAAATAGTACAAAGACGCGGGCTGGCGGGAGCTGGCTGGGCGGGCCCGGGCTCCGGGTCTGCTCCCTCGCTCGCTCGCTCTCCCGCTTTCTCCTGCTCCCCGCACTTCCTGGTCCCCTCAGCGACGGCGCGGCGGCAACGCCGGAGCCCGGGGAGGGAGACGGACATTTCATTCGAGCCTGCAGTGAAACCGGTTACCAATCATTGGCCGGAGCCAGGCACAAACCTCCAGTGCGGCCCTGGTTGGCTCCCTCCGCAAATCGGCTGTTTGGTTGGACAGAAAATGGCTGCGAAGGAACCAGTCCCAGCGCGGAGCACCGCTTCCCGAAGCCGGCCTGCCCTCCCTCCGCGCCGCCTCCTCCTCGGGCCCCCTCCCTCGCAGACGGCTCTTCCCGCTCGGGGGATTTCCTCCCACCGCTGCTAGGCCGCCGCCGCCTTTCGAGCAGCTGCGGGCGACTGCGCCGCGCAATGAAGCACCAGAAGTGGCCTCCAGCTTAAGCGGCGCTGCGCGACCGTCGCCGCCCTTTATTTGTGCAGGCCAACCGTCTGGCTTCTCCTGGACCGGGCATTCTCATGCCCGGCTGAAGGGAGCAAACTATCGACCTCTTCCCCTGGCCACATTTTCTGCCAAATGAGCCGAGTCTTCTTTCACACGGTCAGACACGTGTTCTTAGTGAATGCACTTGAAAAAGGTAATAGCAAGTATGGCGTAAGCCAGCTTTCCCCAACTTGGTGCTTTCCAGATGTTCTGGATTGCCGTCCCACTATCTTTGACTGTTGGCCATTAGTTGGGGCTGATGGGAGCTGCACTCCAAAAAATTATCGAGGTCACCAGGTCCTAGAAGGCTGACATAATTTTTCATAGAACTGAGCTCTTTAGAGGTAGGATATGTTACCCCAGTTGGCAGGTTGCTGTTTGTTATTTATTTCATTTTTCTATTGTGCAATAGCTTAAGCACTCTGGGTGGTTTACAACAGTCTACATTTATAGGAATGCAGGTTGATTCTGTTTTTTAATTTCTGTTTGTTGGATTTATATACCACCTTTCTCTCCAAAGGCCTCACAGTAGCGTTACATGGTCGCCTCCCTCAGTTTTAGCCTCACAACATCCCTGCGAAAGAGGTCACACTGGCCCAAAAGTAGTTGCCCTACAGTGATCAGTGAATTTCATGGCTGAATGGAGCTCAGGGTGCAGAACTTCAACACTAAACACTACATCACATGGCTTGTTTGGGTTTCATTAAAGTCAATGATTTCCCATCCTATGACAGGTGTTAACTTTAAGCAGGTTGTGTTATCAACAGTTGCAGTGGTTGACTAAGCTTCAGCTGAATGGACAGAGAAACAACTTTTTGCATTTCTTCACCACTGACTCCCACTTTACAAATATTTTCCCCACCCAAATGGCCAAATGAGAAGAACACGTAATCTGACTGATGATATAATTCCAGTTCAACAAGTTATAGATACATTAGCCTTCACAGTGCTTCAAGACTCTTGTTTGTTTATGATAGCAATTACTGCCAATAATCCAATTTTCTTTTTGCTATAAGTTAACACCAGTAATGGGATGACCTTGATCTCCCTAAACAAAGAATAGAATTCTCTTTTACATTCTATTCCAGCAAATACAAACTACTTTTCCTTTGCAGGTAAAGAGTGGCAACTCTTCTCAGGTCAACAGCACTGTCATGAAAGTGAAGCTTAACCAGGAACCTGTTTTCAGACTCATGACTATTATAATTGAGCTCCAGTGATAAAGAAGGGATAGTCCTAAAAGATGTGCCTCAGTTCTCTCCAAAAACAGAAGAAAGCAAAATGTTCCTCTGATACGAAACCACACAGAACACAAACTTGGCCAACCAGGGCAAAGGACCAAATCTATGGTGAATGAGGTGTTGGCAAGTAGGCAAATTTGAGTTGGATGACAAGATTCTTGCAGTGGCTGTTTTAGTTGCTCAGCAAAATGAGAGTTACTGATCTATGAAACTGTTCTCATGGAGCAGTTTTAAGACCTGTTGTCTGGCAGTAGTGTTTATGCAAGAGGAAATGCTACTATGATGTGAGATATGCTGTGCGTGTGTTTTCATGAATTCTATTTTAAAAGGAACATATAAATAATATGCGCGAGTTTCAGGGGTGAGGGGAAACATGTCTCTTGACTCTTTTCATAACTTACTTATGGATTTAGGACAGCTTTACTTTCTGTATTTACTTTCTGAATTTCACATAACCCACAGTAAGGTTATGTGAAATCCAGAAAGCTATGACTAAACAATAAAGATAGTACATTTTTGTAAATAATTAAAATCAGAATTGCAAAGCTGTGTTCATATTTTACGTGGTATTTCATGCACAGTTTTTATATCTTTATATTTTATCACTTTAAGACAAATGCTTCAAGGTAGCATTTGGTGAGTTAGAATTGGATCAATTGTTGAAAAATCATTTCGTTTTGAAGAACACCAACTCTTAAATCAAAACTTGTGGACCTCGCTTAAAGTTGTGTACATTTATTAAAAACTGAAATCCATAAAATAACACGTTTGCTTCAGTAATGAACTTTCAGGTTACAGACTGACTTTCAAGGAAATGATGATGAAATATGAAACCCCAGAAACTTTGGTTCACTCTATGTTCCATTGCAAATAATTTTGCTAATTCCTGTTGTATTGGTTTAGCAGTAGCAAAGTTGTTGCTGTACTTCTAAAGCTGGGATGATATGCACATTTACTTAGCAACTGGATTTGTTGGTTGTGATTCAGGCATGTGGTGGCTGAGAATGATCATGAGACAGACCTTTTAAAAAGGTTTTGCTATATCTTATATCTACTCTTCTTATCTTAGATTCACCCACTAAGTGAAGGCAGGTGAGCAGAGTGACTGAGATCTTGCCTGTTGATCCTGACCGTGTGTTCAACAGGTAAGAACACGCTGTACCCACAGTTGGGAATCCTGAGACAAGATCATATTTAGTCTATCACGTAGTATCACCTCTACCATCCTTCCCCAACGTGGTGCCTTTCAGATGTTTCAGCTCTCATCAGACTCAGTCAGCATGGCCAGTGGTTAGGAAAGCTAGGGGCTGTAGTCCAAAGCATATAGTTGGGGAAAGCTGAAGTAGGGAAACCAGAAAATTTCTGGTGGCCAGGGGCATAGAAATCTCAGCAGCAAAGTTATGATTTTATCCATAGTGAAATTATACTGACCAAGGCCAGAGACTTGCTTAGGATCCAATAGGTGTCATCCAGAAGTCCTCAGGGACGGTATAAAGCTCATGGAATGACACTTTGTTGCTATGTGTGCATATAAACCAAGAGCTATGTCAATGTTCTGTGCTAATGTCAACATACCATGCTGATACAGCAAGCCTGTGCATGCACAGCAAGGCCCATTTCCTGGAAATGGCCTGCGACTCAGAAACCAAGAGGGAAGTGGGTCTTACAAGAAAATGTTGGAGTATAGAGTGCTCTTGTTCATGATTTCAGGCAGCTCCACTTTTCATTGCCCTTCAGTAATCGGCATTTTGTGGTCACAGAGCATGCTCAGTCCTGATAGGCTGAGGCACCTCTCCCTTTTTCCACTCCAAAGTCGTTTTCTGTCTGTGAGGTTCTTCTGCAGATCCTTGGTTCTCCCTGCTGATGTATAACCCATAATGCATGTTGAACTCATCACAGTATTCGCAATAGCCTTGCAGTAGGTTGTTTTCAAATGGAGCTGCAAAATCACTGCTCTTCCAAAGCAAGCAGCAAGCAAAAAAGAGGGAAGCAACACTGGGAAAGCATGGGATGACTACAGGTGGATCCTTCCACCCCCTTATAGAATGTGTGTGAATCTGTCACACAATGACCTGGTGTGCATGATATGACAACCCACCATGAAGTGCAACCCAACCTGATTTTTCCAAACAAACCAAGGTGAGAATGCATAGGCTATACTAGACAATGTTTTATCCACAGTGGGTTGTCATGCCAGCTGAACCTAGACAAGTGATTTCCCTGTGGGTAAAATTTAATGGCCAGTGTGCCAACTCCCCCCTTGCTGCTAGCCCTCCCCACCAAAACACTGTCACTAGTCTGCTGCCCTCTCTACACGTGCCTGAGCCATTTTCAACTCCCTGCAGCTTTTTCACACTTTATTATTTTTTTCAGAGGTAATAGAAGCTGGCTTGACAACCTGTTTTCACAATCCTTATTTTGACAGCCTCTGGCAGTCCCTTCAAAGTACCCAAGCAGCATGTTAGAAGGGTTGCACATGGTTAAAAAGTCATGTTTTAAAATTGCTGTGAGAATTCCTAATGTGTGCAAAGATTTGCATTCATTTAAAAAATGGGACTTGCCAAGATATGATAATATGCAGTCTTACTTGTGGAAAAGGGAGCACACTCTAAGTCATTGCTCATCTAAAAAGATCCATGCGGTTCAAGCATCAAT